AAATTGTATTTAATTGTGTATGACTGGTCTTCTGTAGTGTGAGGGTTGTTTTTGGCCTGTGAAGGAACTAACGTCACAGGGTCCCCAACCTGGGGGACCCTAGGGCTTAATTAAACTCCTCCACTTGGGGCAGGACCTCATCGTTGACCCGGAGAAAGCATTCTACCTTTTTCAGACTCAAGACCATGGTCTCAAATTTAAAGGAGCTGATTCTCATCCCAGCTGCTTCACACTCAGCTGTAAACAGCTCCAGCGAAAGTTGGAGATCACGTTCTGATGAAGCCAATAGGACCACATCATCTGCAAAAAGCAGAGACCTGATCCGTAGGCCACCAAACAGATCCCTTCAACACCTTGGATGTGCCTAGAAATCCTGTCCATAAAGGTTATGAACAGAATCGGTGACAAAGAGCAGCCTTGGTGGAGTCCAACTCTCACCGGAAACTAGCTTGACTTACTGCCGGCAATGTGGACCAAGCTCTGACACCAGTCATACAGGAACCTAACAGGCCGTATCAAAGGGCCTGGTACCCCATTCTCCCCAAGTGCCCCCCCACAGGACCCCAAGGGGGAAGCCGTCAACAGCCTTCTCCAAATCCACAAAACACATGTAGATTGGTTGGGCCAGTTCCCATGCACCCTCCAGGACCCCCCTAAGGGTATAGAGCTGGTCCAGTGTTCCACAGCCAGAACGAAAACTACATTGTTCCTCCTGAATCTGAGGTTCGACAATCCGACGGACCCTCCTCTCTAGAACTCCTGAATAGACCTTACCAGGGAGGCTCAGGAGTGTGATCCCCCTGTAGTTGGAACACACCCTGTGGTCGCCCTTTTAAAATAGGGGGACCACCACCACAGTCTGCCAGTCCAGTGGGACTGCCCCCGATATCCACGCGATATTGCAGAGCCACGTCGGCCAACACAGCCCCACAACCTCCAGAGCCTTATGGAACTCCGGGCGGATCTCATCCAAACCCTGGGGCCTTGCTACTAAGGAGTTTTTTTTAACCACCTCAGTGACCTCAGCACCAGAGATTGGAGAGTCCAACTCAAAGTCCCCAGACTCTGCTTCCTCACTTGAAAACGTGCCGGTGGGATTGAGGAGTATTCTTCCCACGATCAATGAGATGACGTCCTTATTAGGAATTATTGCTATGGGCCAAAATGGATCCCGGGAGTTAATCAGAATTCGACTGGACATTTATCTTACAGTATTTGTGCTGGAATAGGACATGTTGTGAAGAGATGTGGATCAAGTAAGAACTCGAGGGACAGATCCCGGGTTACTTGTAAGGAAGAAAGAAACGCAGTGATGTTCTAGACACTACTCAGAAGGTGGTTGAATGTTCTGGAGCAGCACAGTCACAAGGATCAGAGAATGAAGTTCTGCTCCCTCACATCATCACACAAACATGCACATAGGACCTTGGGGGGTGGACAAGTCAGGGAGTGTGGGCATGGACCCCATTTCCGCATTCCTGTGGCAACCTGCCCCCCAATTTTATTTGCACCATAAACACTTCCACCAACGACATTCCACGCAAACACACACTTAGGGCCTTGGGAGTGAGCACATTCAACGGCAGTTGGCAGGGGGATTTCTCAGCCTCATCCCGAGTGCCAGTGCCCACTTCCAATTTTAAACTGCACTTAGACACCGAGGGCTGTGTGTGCAAGTGGGGTGGTGTAGTGGCATCAGCTGGCATAGGCCAGACAATGCCCGCACTGCCCGCTCACCACAGCCATGGAATACACCTCATCAACACACAACAACACTATATTGGAGCAGGCAGAGGGAGACTAGGGGTCTTAGCACACCTCTGTTGTTGCTTGGCTTCCTGGGGCTGGAAGCTAGGAGGGAGATCTGGCCGTCTGGTTGGGGTCTGAGGTGGCGGGTTGCTGTGCTCAGCGTTGGGTGGGGGAACCTGCTCATCAGCACCCCAGCAGAGAGGGTCAAACTCTGGTAAATGGTAATGGTTGTACCCCATGTGCAGCAGTACCGGGACCAGAGTGAATCAGGTGTGTATGGGGAGCATGAGTGGGTGTCCGGAGTGCAATTTTGTAAGTCTTTGGTTGTATGTGCATGTGTGAGCATGAGGGAGGGAGTGTGTGACTGTGTTTGTGTATGACTGTATATGTCAGGTGGGGCCTTTGACTCCTCTCTTCTCCTGGGACTTCTTTTGATGATATAGATCTACGTCTCCCCTCCCCCTGCCACACCTGGTGTGGAGTGTGGTGCCTTGGTCTGCCTGAGTGTTCGTGGCTCCCGGGTCAGGGGGTTTAAGATTTTTGGCATCTGCCTGATCAATCCCGGTGGCTGTCTGGTGGGGTCTGGGTCCCTGGGCTCTGCTGGGTCCCCGGCGGGGGTGGTCGCCGGGTCCCGGGCTTGGCCGGCTAGGGGGTGGGAGGCTGCGGGCGGGTCTGTGGGCTTGCCGCTGATATCTCCCCGGACTCTGCCGGCTGCTCGTTGTGGCCCCCCAGGACGATCCTCTGTGCCTCTCGAGGGGGGCGGGGGCCTTTCTGGTTGCAGTCTCCTTGGGGTTCCTGTGTTCTGGGGCAGCTCCTGGATCTCTAGGACTTGGAGCTCCCTCTGTCTCCTACACATCTTTGGGGGGCAGATCTGTGGTCCCTCACACTCTCTATTGGACGCTTTTATAGAGAAACCTTACATGAACAAGCGCGTGTACACACACAGGTGCTCACATGGTGCTCTCAAAAGTATGGGCTTGGGCACGTTCAACAAATGTCTTAAGGCTGTTGTTGCCATAAAATGTACTATGATTTATTATCGTGTGATTGTTCAGTTAAACAATGTTGATTTTATATTTCATCATCAGGCTGACACAGTGATAGCTTGCTCCTGATGTATTGTTGTGTGTCCCATTTTTTCTATTCTTTCTCTTTTTGCAGGTCTAGAAGCAGACTCTTGTTCATTATTGTTCCTTTCTCTTTCACCTCTGACTCCGTGTCTGGTCGGAATTACAAAGCATTCAAAAACAATAAGAATAAAGTTTTAAGTATCAGGCGTGACATTAAAAGCAGACGCTTTGATGCTCCACCTGACAGTAAATCTGTAAGGCTTGTCACCAGCATTCAGACATCAATTCTGTTTGCTTCACAGCCGGACAGGACACGGGTGTGGGGGGAGGAAGAAAAAAAAAAAGAGAATGAAGTTCTGATGTCAAGAAAGTGTCTGTGATGTCACCGACCTTGGAAACTCAGTCTGACCCTGTGTTGGTTAAAGTATCAGAATCAAGATGTTCAGCCAGGGAAAGAAGAGCACCTGGTTATCTGAAAGACTTTGTAAGATAAATGATTTAACAGTGTGTGGGTTTTGCTTAGTGTTACAACCGGTCCGCGGCGCTGGTGTGTCGTGTGTGGAGAGAATAGGATAGCATAAAACTTGATAGGAGGTGATTTAACAAATGTTTTATTAGAAATTAAAGGGCACAAAACAGAAACACAGAGAGATGATACTGAAAACGAAAAACGTCTTTGTCCTAACGAAAGAGGGAGTTTTGTAAAGGATTTAAGTTAACTGAAGACGGCAGGGACTTAACCTGCTCTGGCCTGGCCTACAATTAAAAGGAATTACCGGCGCCAATGAATCAAAACAAAAAATACCAATTTATTGTAAAACGCCTTTAAAAAGCAATCTTCATAAACAAATCTTACTCCAGACCAGGTGGACATTTAACAAGTAAACTCAAACAGCAACAACAAAAGATCATTAAAGGATCATCCGAAATGAACATAACTCGCAGAACGTTCGTAACTCTTGTATACTCGAAGTACCAACAGTCGCTGAGGTCTTTAACGATTGTGGAGCACAAACCAGCCTTTGCCGTCGTGGTTTGCCTCCCTGACAGCTGGAGCACACCGCCTTTTGTCTCCAGTAAACTGATTAATGGTAATAGTTGTCAGTTGCGCTCATCAGATGCCGGCTGGACCAACCAGGAGGCCGGAAGCATCAGGCCTGGAACTGCCGGGAGAGTTGTGGGCGGCGGCCATAACACTCAGCTGTGTTTATGTTTCTTTCTAATGTGCAGTTTGTGTACATAAAAAAGTTAACACAGTTAAGTGGAGTGATGTTTACCTAAAGGTGGGGTAACGTAGATCCATGGGTCAGAACCAAACATGGTGGAGATGCTTTTAGTGACTATACTGCTCACATGGAATCAGCTCCCCCAGGAACTCAGATCTGCCCCAACCTTAGTGTTGTTTAAATCCAAACTAAAACCCCTAATGTACTCATCAGCCTTTAAATGAATAGTTACTTATGCTGCATCGTCTCCACTGTAATCTGTGATGTAATCGCTCAACCTCTTTTCCTTTTAGCTCTAAATTATAATTTTATCTGTGTATATTTTAATTTGTGTTCTCCTGTTTGTTGATGAGCCATTTCATGCTAATTATAAATCACATAGAATTGCCCCTGTGTTTGAAACGTGCTCTATAAAAAAAGCTGCCTTGCCTGACATAAGTGTTACTGGACTCTGTTGAACATGTGTTGGTTTAGAATTAGACAACAGAGCACGCTGAATGATATCTGAGTCAGACAGATGCGAAGAAGTCATGAGTTGAGTTAAGAAGCGTTGCTGCAACGTAAACAGTTGTGTTAGTTAAACATAGAGCCACGTTCTACATATGTTGGTTGGAGTTTTTCGGCCATGACACAACACAAACCATCAGTTGTGCTACCAGTAGGGTTCGTACATCTGAAGGGAAGCACAGTTCTCATAGTTTCAAACTATAAAAGTAAAATACTACAATTTTCCCATTTCTGCGAACGTTGCATTTTTTTTTTACCATCATTACCTCCAGTATAACCTCCTCTCTGATGAGGTGTCGGAGGTCTTTTCCAGGAGGGAAGTCTCTGGATGGTTCTGCGGCTTGGTTCGGAGCCTGCAGGGCCCGGTTCCGTCAGGTTGGAGGTGTTTTGTTGCTGGGGAAGAGTCCAGACCTACCTCGCCTCTCTGCAGCCTCACTCTCGCTAGTAAATGTATTTTCAGCCAATCAGAAAAATCCATACAGTGGTTGCTAGGCGAATGATCCGGCCAGTAGCCAATCTGATTTGCCGTTCGTGAAGCGAGCAGGGAGTTGAGAAAGACCTAGTGACAGCGCCTGAGTCCCGTGAAGGAACATCACGGAGGCTCGCTCCGTGGGAACACGACAGCCGTCAGGATGCCGAACAAAACCAAGAAGGAGAAGGTGAGTCAGAAGGGCCTTTGTAGTGCGCGCCTGACCGGTGAGGATACCAGAGAAGCGGGAAAGTGGCTCTGGTTCGGCTGCTGGAGACCGGAGACGGTCGGTCTTACCGACCTGGGGAAAGCTAAGCTGCTAAGGCCCCATTAGCCGCGGAGCACCGGCCAGCCGTGTCCCCGGTTTTATTTGACTGGAGCCATTCACTGTAGAAATTCCAGGACGTGATGTAACGGACCGCTCCCAGTAAGGGGGTCCCGGCTGAGTGTAAGCCGTTAGCTGCTGCTGATGCTCCGGGAGGATTCTGCATTATTCATCCGCCTGAAAGCATCTGAGCTTGTTCTAGAAGCTGCTGATGAGCTTTGGACCCTAACCAGCCGGTGTGATGCTGAGCCATTAGGGCGGCGGTCACAGCACACATGCATGGAAACGCCTCTTCTCACCTGAGTGACGTCACCTGATGAGTCCAGAGCCTTAAAGAGTCATCGGTTAATCGAACAATCCGATGAAACCAAGTAAACGCATTACATTCAGTGATTGGTAGGTTGGTTTGTGTGGGTAGAAGTGTGCTGGGTCAGTTTCTTGTTGGTGTTTATAGTGCAGGTGTAGGCTACACCGGAGGCGCTGACTTCTCCAGAGCAGAAGTTGGTTTTTAAACTGGTGTGAAGAGATGAAACCCCACATTTATCATTATTTTCCTCTGCTGCCACAGTAGTGATTTTAGGATGTTTTTAATCTCACGATGAGTCAGGATGGTTGTTTTAATATGTATAATTAATCATCTTCACATGAGACTTTTCTCACATTGAACAGAAAATGAGACAGCAGGCTCAAGTCGTGGTAGTGGCGACAGCCACGGGGTTTCCAGCAACCAGCCGCCACAAGTTTTTCAACGAGGCTTTAAACTAGCCATGGGATTTATTTAGACAAGCAACGAGTTTATTTATTTATTATTTTTTCAGAGCGTTGCCACTTAAATTTCTGTGGCAGCCTCTTTTTGTAAGCATTATTAAATCCAAAGCCTTCATAGAGAACATACAGTCACACGTTCAGGCTACATAACCCCATAAGAGACATAAACATTAATCGTGCACTCAGTTTACACGTGGCTAAACAAGAGATCACGTTATCAGTGTGAAATATCTAGTAAATTTTTAAATAAAATACAAATGCAGATGGTTTTCTTCAAACTTTTAGTGCATCAAAACGTTACAAAACGATATTAACAAAATAACATCAGTGAATTGTAGGTAAGAACGGTTAGAAATAATGAAACAGCTAGGCCATGGGCTGGATCACTATTATCAGATGGAAAAACTAAATTATCAGACATGCTGTCTCATCTGCTGCTTTTCTAAACTTTCAAAAAGTAACAAAACTATTTGAAAGCCACTATTTGTGGATCCTCTGAAAGTTTCCATGGAGTGTGTGTGACAACTTATGTTTTCATTGATCCTAACATTTAATCTGACAGCTGAAACGAGCATCCTTAATAATCTGTACACAGGAAGCTTACCGATGCTGTAATAAAACAAAAGGTATAATAATTTCTTATTAATAAAACCTTGTTGCAGCACTAAAGCAGAAAAATGAGATTTTGCATTAAATATGCAAAATATTTACATATGAATTGTTTTAGAGCCCTTTTATTGGCAGAATCTGATATTAATTTAGTTCTTACAAAAAATGGGTCCCAACATGGTTTGTGTGGCATTGCCATAGTGTGACGTCATAGGCACAGATCCCCTGTCCTCTTTTTTGGAAATGGAAATATGGTCACCCTTTATTAAACAAACCGTCCACCCGGGCTTTTGCGCTGCACAAAGACGCTTCGCTGCCTATGACTTTGAACGTCATTTGAGAGCGGTTGAGAGTCAGTCTCATGCAGACTGACCAATGAAGAGAGGGCCTCAAGTTAAGACCCTCTCCTCATTGGTCAGTTCACACGAGGTGGGTCAAAGGTTACCCTGAGCAGGTTACGTGATGTCAGGCATTCAAGTATTGAGTATATTTACTGCATATTACAGTAAAATATTCTGTATGTGACCATATTATGGTGGTCCTTGGGTCGTGATGATGGGGCCCTTGAATATTGTTGCCCAGGGTACAACAAAGTGTTAATCTGGCCCTGAGGCTACACCGGAGGCGCTGACTTCTCCAGAGCAGAAGTTGGTTTTTAAACTGGTGTGAAGAGATGAAACCCCACATTTATCATTGATTATTTTCCTCTGCTGCCACAGCATTGATTTTAGGATGTTTTTAATCTCACGATGAGTCAGGATGGTTGTCATAATATGTATAATTAATCATCTTCACATGAGACTTTTCTCACATTGAACAGAAAATGAGACAGCAGGCTCAAGTCGTGGTAGTGGCGACAGCCACGGGGTTTCCAGCAACCAGCCGCCACAAGTTTTTCAACGAGGCTTTAAACTAGCCATGGGATTTATTTAGACAAGCAACAAGTTTATTTATTTATTATTATTTCAGAGAGTTGCCACTTAAATTTCTGTGGCACCCTCTTTTTGTAAGCATTATTAAATCCAAAGCCTTCATAGAGAACATACAGTCACACGTTCAGGCAACATAACCCCATAAGAGACATAAACATTAATCGTGTACTCAGTTTACACGTGGCTAAACAAGAGATCACGTTATCAGTGTGAAATATCTAGTAAATGTTAAAATAAAATACAAATGCAGATGGTTTTCTTCAAACTTTATTAGTGCATCAAAACGTTACAAAACGATACAAAATAACATCAGTGAATTGTAGGTAACAACGGTTAGAAATAATGAAACAGCTAGGCCATGGGCTGGATCACTAGACATCCACGTAAAGTTATGCAAGAAATCCAACAGGTTTCTATTTACAACAAGAATTTCACTGTATTTAACCCTCAGGCTTAATTAAGGGCATTTTTGTCCATTTGGGCAGTTTTTTGTTTTTCTTTTTGACACAATATTACCACCGTTTGTGTATATGGTACAACATTTTGTCGCAAAACCTCTCTGGACTAGGGTTGTCACGGTGTGAAAATTAAACCTCACAGTTATTGTGACCAAAATTATCACGGTTTTTGGTATTATCGCGGTATTTTTTTAAACGTGTTACATTTTCAGACAACTACATAAACCCTGTATATCGGGAAAATATTGTCCTCAGTTTGTGTCCAAATTTTGCCTAAAATGTGTTATTTTGTAATAATGTTGTTTATTTGTTTACATATTTCTCCTTTAGTCTTTAAAATACCAATATTTGCCCATAACTTCTTATTTTTTGTCTGTTTGATGTCATCATTTTAAAAGTATTAGATCAGATGATACTCACTACTCAAGTAGCCTTCTAATCGGATACTATCGCGTCAGACCCGTGCCACAACCCGTGCACGCGCATTGGGTCCACAGCGCGCGTGTGAACGGGACTCGCGAGCGAAAATATACATGGCAGCGCGCGCGTGAACGGGACTCGCGAGCGAAAATATACATGGCGAGAGGTCATTTGTGCACTGAGAGGGAGCAAACTGTGTCTGTGAGCGCACAAGGATGTGCACAAGTGACAAACCTGCGTGCGCGCGTTGTCAACGAGCACACGGCAGAGGAAAACGTGCGCGCGCGGCAGCCTCTGTGCGCGCTCGGCAGCCTCTCTGCGCGCTCGGTTTCTGACTCCTGCTCGCTCGGCTGTAAGGGCTTTTGGCACTCTGGAGGCGTGGCCTGTGGCAGATCTTCTCTGTCCTCTGATTGGTTAGTTTACCCCGCACTTTACCCTCTATCTATATAAAAAAGTCTGATATTCAGTAGTTGCTGGCATAGCTCAGCTGGGAGAGCGGGTGACACTCGCCCCGGAGGATCCAGGTTCGAGTCCGGCCAAGGAAAATGCAGAAGATGTCATGTTAATTTTTCTTAATTTCAGGTATTTTACAGTTGTGACCGTTCAACTGTCATTAAACGTCCGAATGTTTGCTGGGCAGTGTTTTAAAAAGTGCACATAAGCTAGATGGTTTTAACCATATAAAATTACATTTTTTGTGATACTGGAAAAATACATACTGAAATAAAACTACTGATTGAAAACTTTATGACTGTGGTTGTACAATATATGACTCACTAATACACTGCAAACTCCCTCTCGCCATGTATATTTCCGCTCGCGAGTCTCGTTCACACGCGCGCTGCCATGTATATTTTCGCTCGCAAGTACCGTTCACACGCGCGCTGTGGACCCAATGCGCGTGCACGGGTTGTGGCACGCTTTAAATGCCATAGGATACTTTTTTACCCTTACTTGAGTAATAAACCCTATATCAGGAAAATATTGTCCTCGATTTGTGTCCTCCCAGTGAGCTTTGCAGATTTGGGAAAATGTCATCAGGCAGTGATCATTGTTAAATTCATAATTATTCTCGGAGAGAGACCAACTCTTATCTTCCCCTGGGAGCCCCGTAATGCATAGCGTCATTTCAATATGGGGGTTTCCGCGACACGGTTTATATGCAGGTAGCGGCGCTGCGGCTGCTTTATATAGCGACTCGTTGCATTCTCCCTCAACCCAAATCCTCGGATCACGCATTTTAGCTAAAACGTTAGCTCGCCTTGCGTTGACTGTAGAGTTGTGGGTGATGGTTACGCAGATGTGTCATGAGATTTGAAGCATTGCTGCCTTTCACAGACACTTTTTCTGCACGTGCTGCAAACAGGATAGCCGTCTTCTATCAACTGTCCCTCGGCATTCTTCAAATATCCAAAAAATGCCCGTACTTCCGAATTTATCTTCTTTGAGGGATAATAAATGTCCTGAGCGCTGCCGTCTCCTCCTTTGGCCATTATTTCAGCTTTAGCTTCAAGAAAGTTTTGGCTGTAAACAACAAAGTGCGCATGTGCCGCCGGCAACTTCAGCAGATGATACGGTGGCTGGTAAGGGTCACCGCGTCTACACCGCAGCCACGGTAATCCACCGAGATATTATATTTTTTAAAAAACAAGACGGTTATTATTGTCAACTTTTTTAC